CACAGCAACCTCAAACTCCTGGGCTCAAGCGATCCTTCTACCTCAGCCTCCCGAGCAGCTGGGACTACAGGCATGCGCCACCATGCCCGGCTATTTTTTTCTCTATATATTTTTGTTGTCCAATTAAATTCTTTCTGTTTTAGGAGAGACGGGGTCTCGTTCTTGCTCAAGCTGGTCTCGAACTCCTGAGCTCAAACAATCCGCCCGCCTCAGCCTCCCAGAGTGCTAGGATTATAGGCGTGAGCCACCACGCCCGGCTGATTTGTGCCCAGATTGACAGCTTAATTTCCTGGGAATGGGGAGAAGGATTGTTGAATTTATCTCCTGTGTAAAGGATGAACAGTTTTTCACAAATACAAGGCTTTCTCAGCTGGATTTTACAAACACTGATGCTGCCTTTAACCTCTGAGGGTTTAAGTGTATCCAGACTTAATTCTGCATTATCTTCCTCCATTTAAAGATTTATTAAGTAAAAGTTATTTGTAATCAGCATATGTTGAATAAGAATGGGGGCAAGATTGGGCCAAACTTTGAGCTGCCACTTAGAATTTTCCAGTTTGTTGCTTGAAGTCCATTAGCTTAATGTTTGATGACACAAATCTTGAAGGCCAAAGAGAATGCTCTGTGAGAACCTAATATGAAAGACTATGGTAGCCCTGTCATACTCAGGGCGTCATACCCGGGAGTTGTGTGTGGATACCCTCATGTCACCAATGCCATGCACCTGTGCAGATGTGTGTGTTAACCTCTGACCCCTAGTCTTGGCCATTTTGGTGAATGCCACCACAGCTGCTCAAGCCAGAAACCCAGGAGACATCCTGGATTGCTCCTTTTCCCTCACTCCCCACTAGAGCCCATCAAAACTTCTGTCAGTGTGGCTCCAACCTCACTGCCTATTGCTTCCATCTATTTGTACCTGCTAGACTAGACCAGGCCATCTTCAGCCACTCACCTGGGTACCACAGTGTTCTCATCATTGGTTCCCTGGCCTTCTCTCTTCTCTACTCTGATCTCTTTTCCCACGTTCGAAAGAGTGATTTTTCAAAATATACGTTAGATCATTTCATCCTCCTCCTTAAAACCCTCCAGTGTTTTGCTTGTTGCACTTAGTACACATTGCAAAGCCCCTATGCTGATATGTAAGGCCCTGCACAATCTAGTTCCTGCCAACTTTTCTATGCTCATCTCAAATGTTTCCCCCTTGCGCACTATCTGTTCCCCACCCTGGCTGGCCTTCTAGCCATTTCAGGGTGATCTCTTTCCTGCCGCAGGGCAGATACCCATGTTATCTCGAGGTCTTAGGTTCCTAGGGATCTGTTCTTCCTCTCTTTTTCCCATGGCGGGCTCCTTCTCAACCTTCAGGATTCAGAGACTGTCCCCACTATCCTACCTATGAATCCGCTAATGAAGGAACCAGCATATGGTATTAATAAAACTGGTTCAAGAAAGTATAGAGACTTAGAAATATTTGTAGTCATGGAAAGAAAGGATGCTGGAATAGGGTTGCTGAATTACATATAAAACTGATTAATGCCTTAATGCCCTATAGGGCAATACAAGTGCACCTTGGCTGTTGTACTCTTTTCAAAGATGAACTTTATTTGCATTGCTATCAGACAAGAAGGACTTGTTAGCTAACAGTTTTCTACAAGTTAACATCTATACTTTCAAAATTATCAAATGCCTAATCAAGAGTAAATAGTGAGTCAAGGCAGAAGTCCATATCCCTAGGAAGTGAGGTGATCCTTGGGTGGGCCTGTTGGGTCCTGCTTCTGCAGGGCAGACTCCTCTCTACTTTGTTCTCTCCCAGCATCTGTTTCCTAATAGCACTTAGCAGAGCTTATAAATATTCATTACAGGTTTCACTAATTTTTTTTTTGTCTATCTTCCTCACTAGTTAGCTTGCCTAAGGGGAAGGGCAGAGGACCTGGTAACCCCCTGCATTATGGGGCATTGTTGGCACTCAGTGCATATTGGTTGAATGAGTGGATGAATGTTTATGGAGAGGGCATCTTAATCTTCTGTCACTCTATAAGCTGGAACAATTGGAATTCACATTCACCTGGAACTCCTGAGGGGCTTTTACAGAAGTCATCCCGGTCTTTCTGTCATCTTTCTCAAGCCCTGATTCCTAACCTTGTCTGTACTTGAGAATCAACTTGGAAAGCTTTAAGTACAAAATAAAAAAATACAGATACCTGAGTGTACCTCCAGAAATTCTCATTTAATTAGTCTGGGGTCCAGCCTGAGCATCAGGATTTTTCGTTTTTGAGACAGGGTCTTGCCCTTTCGCCTGGGCTAGAGTGTAGTAGTGTCATCATAGCTCACTGCAACCTCAAGCTCTTAGGCTCAAGTGAGCCTCCTGAGTTAGCAGGGCCTATAGATGTGTGCCACCAAGCCCACTTAATTTTTTTATTTTTTGTGGAAACAGAGTCTCGCTCTTGCTCAGGCTGGTCCCAAACTTCTGACCTCAAGCGATCCTCCTGCCTCAGCCTCCCAGAGTGCTAGGATTACAGGCATGAGCCACTGTGCCTGGCCTGACATAAATTATTTTTATTATGTGCTAAAATAAGATCAGTTATAACTCTTTTTTTTTTTTTTGAGACAGGATCTCACTCTTGCCCAGGCTGGAGTGCAGTGGTGTCATCATAGCTCACTGCAACCTCAAACTCCTGGGCTTGAGAGATCCTCCTGCCTCAGGCTCCCGAGTAGCTGGGACTACAGGTGTGTACCACCACACCTGGAAACATCAGGATTTTTAAGAGCTCCCCTGGTGATTCTTATATGGAGACAGGGTTGAGAATAACGTCTCATGAAAGCCGCATCAAGCATTTTCAAGAGCTTTCCTTAAACTATGAGTATATCTTTAGTCACTCTAGCAGCGCCTGAACTAGGGTGCAGCAAGGCACGTGATTTAAGGGGGCACTTATTTTCAGCGTTGTGCAAGTGCTG